AAAAAAAAATATGTGTGACCCCCCCCCCCCCCCGCCTCCAAAAAAAATTTGGTGGATTGGAAGGATCAAAATTATACTACACTGACTTTGGATGGGAAAACCATCCAAAGCAAGTTCCCAAAAACTAGCAAATGCTGATTTTTTCAGCCCCTCATAAACGATACTCAAAAAAAAAAAAAAAAACTCCCAAGCTTGCCCTTAGATACTCATGCTAACCCCTTGATAAGAAAAATAAACCCAACCAGCACACAAGAAGTGTGATAGAAGTCTAAATTTATGGACACCTATTTATTTAGTTTGAATTAAACTCTTTTGCCATGAAGAAGAGTTTAACAACTTGGTTGACATATCCTCACAGTGCATGAGACCCGCGTGGGACTGCATGAATTAAAAATGTCAAAAAAATGCTCCTCTCCTCTCCCATGTGAATGTGCTGTCAGGGAGGTGTGGCAGCACAGCATGACTCAATTAGTTTTGTCTCGTGTCTTGCAGTTAAACTTTTAGGTTAGTTGGTCTTACTTGAAACAGCAAAAGAGGGCAGCCGATGGTCCCTCCAGAACCAGGTACATCATGCAGAAACTCTTCAAGGAATGGACATGGCGGCAATATGTTATCCCCAAGCTGCTCAACCTTGATATTTGCATCTGCTTCTACGAACAACACGCCTTTGCCATTGCAATTAACCATGAGTTTTCTATTGTCTCCTTCCATAATCCTACCAGCAAAAGGATAGAAATAAACCAGTGTTTTGGCAAGTCCTTCTCGAATGACTCCAACTGGATCTTTCCCTTCCATTGAAGGATTATTTTTATAGAAAATCAACCCTGGAACTTGAAACCGGTGACCCTCTTGGTCGTCTATATCGGAAAGTTTTTTTATTTCACGTGGTGTAGGATCTGATGGAGCCACCAGTTCAGGCTCACGCCGGTGCACAGTAAAAGCAAAGGTGGAAGAAAGTGACATGGCTAAGGTTTTAAGGCTAATGTTTTTGACAGACTTGAAGAAGAAGAAAGAGTTTTGGTGGTTTGATATTTCGTGGCCTGAGAGTATCAATTTATACGGTTAAAATGCACCATCTTGGGATTGGGGGGTTGAGAGGCATGGGCGTGGGATTAGCGAGTGGTGAGACATTGTTTGGTCGATATGTCCAGACGTGCTTTTCAAAGCGTACATCTTTACATGACATGTTATCTTACAATTATATCATTTTATAAAAGTAAGTCTTCTGATATTTTATAAAAGTAAGTCTTCTAATATTTTACATTAAAGACATTTACATAACACTCATCTTATTATTTTCAGTTCTAAAGCTCAGTGTAACAATTAAGTAAAATTCACCTGCCTTCCCTGATAAAATAAAATAAAATAAAAAAATGAATATTGTTATACAGCTACTCACAAGATTTCAATAATTTTCATTTGCGGTGGTCATACAATGAAAATGATTGAGTAGGAAATAAGACGTGTGTGAAGCAGAATTTCTTAGTACCAACAGCGACATTGCTTGATATTCGGGGCAGACGTCAAAAGGGAAATAAATTAATTTTACCAAATCCTGACGTGGGCTAAATGACTCTAGCCACAGGATATTGATGATTTGTTTAGTCCCATTATTTTCACAATTCTGCTCCTCGTCTAGAGTGGGTGAGAGGATTGGGGACAAGGGCGCCATGTGGCGCCCCTTGTTGGAGGGGCACTTGTGGCGCCCCTGTTTTCCCCGTCCCTTACCCTGGGGGCTGTTTTCTTAGTTTCAAAAGGAAAATGCTATGAGTTGTACATAATTGTGTACGCATAGCATTACGCTTTTTAAAATACATATTTTTCTCTTATTTTTAATTATATTTTTCAATAAGATAATATTACATTTAAAATTTTACCATATATTCTACTTCAAACAAGCTCTAAAGCCATGTTTGATAGCACTATATTTTTCATGAAAAATGAAATTCAAATTCCAACTTCCACTTTTTGTCCGTTTGATAGCATATTTTTTCCATGGAAGCTGAAATTTTTCTTGGTTTTCTAAGTTACTGTTTCGTTTTTTTTTTTTTAATGGAAACAAATTATATCCCTAATTGTAAAAAAATATTTTCTTTTAATTGACAATTTTCATGTAAAATAAAACCAAACGAGCACCAAAAGATAGATGATTTTCTTTGCTTTTTTTTTGGCAATGTAAATAAATTTTATCATCAATACTAGTAAATTCTATCACTTTAATTGACAATTTTCATGTAAAATAAAGTCAAACGAACACTAAAAAATATTTTTATTTCAACATTTTCCACGTGAAAAATTATACTAATCAAATACAATAGTTAACAATTCACAGTAAAATAATTTCTAAGTAATTCAATTCCTTAAAATTTATTTTCTTTTAACCTAAATTTCTATTTGTAATCAAATGGACCCTAAGTTTCAAAGAAAATTTTAGGTTGATAAAGTTACATATTTCATATTAAGGCCCCTTTTTGACAACTAATTTTGGAAAGAATGGATTTTTGAATAGTAATTTTTTTTGAGAATGTATAGTTAAAAAAAAAAGTTTTGAATTTATTTGAAGAATATTTTGTTACGAGAATGTATGGTTGAAAATGACTACGAAGAAAAAAAAAAAAGAATTTTCAAAGAATGATTGTCAAACGAGGACTAACTTTAAAGTGAGACAATTCGACAAGTTTTTAAAGCAGGAAAAACATGACGGAGTAAATCAGCTGTATATGTTTATTCAAAATTGATAGCATAACCTCTGTGTGTGTGTGAGAGAGACAGAGAGAGAGAGAGAGATCTGATCACAATCTATGACTTATGCAGTTACAGAGAGAGACAGAGAGAGAGAGAGATCTGATCACAATCTATGACTTATGCAGTTAAATGTGACCTGGGCATATTAAAATATCCAAGATAACATGTGTCATGTGTAGTATAATTTGTGACCTAATGACAAAAATATGCGATCAATGTATTATAATCCATGACATGTGCAAATAAACTATGCAATTGTGCCAGAAACATATTACATTTATCAAGTGCAAATGAAACATAATACCAAAACAATTTAACATTTCAAACATGTACTCAAGCAAGTTTTCAACATCTCAGAGCCCTTTTGGCCCATTTATTATAATAAGAGGAATAGTAATTTTTTGAAAAATGTACGGTTAAAAAGGAAGAAATTTTTTTGGATTTACATGTTATATTATTTATTGAAGAATGTGTGGTTGATGAAAAGAGAGAGAAAAATGAATTATAATTTAATGGTGAATAATGGGGGCTAAACAGGGGCTCAATGTATAACCACAGTTTCATATTTATTACAATTAGTTCCTTCGTGCACAATATTAAAAAGGACAAACATCAATGAGACCGGTATTCATAAACTTTACAAATCCCTTCATCATCTTGATTTTCAAAGTATAGGCTTCCCCCACTTTGTAAGCTTTTTAATCTCTCGATGTTTATAGAGCAGTGTGGCTATATCAAGCCTAATCCTGCCAGCATCAAATTTCTTTAGTATGGACTCTCTATCAATATGGAGCACGTATCCAGAGTATTTAATCACGAATATGCCGTAATCGTGGTTGAAGAACAACATAAAACAGTTTATTATGAATGAAACTTATTTAACTGGTGTGTACTTTGAAATATTGGTCACAAACTTACCCATTCTTCTGTTGCGGAAGGCTACAATCAATCATCGCCTTCAAGTCCATGCAATCAGATTCAACAATTTCATGGCATTCAGAAAGTGTGCAAAGTATGTTTCCATAAGTATATATCATTGGGCTTTCACTTAGATATGTTTTGAGGTTCGTGGGAACATCCTTTATCACGCTAATGGTAATTTTTTCAGGAAACCAACTATCTTGTGGTATGATGAAGTTCCACACCTCCATCACATGTTTAGATGAAAACAACAAATTTGGAATAATTCAATAAACGACATCACAAATATAGATAATGATAGACAAGACTATAAATCAAGTCACACATAATGGTTTTCAATAAGGTCGCATATTGAAAATGTAAATTAAATCAGATCATAGACATATAGAATCTCAAACAATCAGGTAAGTCAGGTCACAAATGCATGTCATGTTATACAATCAAGTCACATATTGAAAAAGAAAACTAAATCATGTCACAGATACATATAATGGCATATAATCATGTAAACAATGCCACAGAGAATGGTATGCATTCAGTTCATATCCTTTAAAACCATGGTCACAAATGGATTGACAACTCACATACTTCCTATTTTAGGTCACAAACCATTCATTAATAGAAAACATATATCAATTTCTATAAAACAACAATTTCAAATGGAAACCCTTGCCCATTTTTTTCACGACTAAAATTGAACTGAATAAGGGACAAAAATGTCCAATACATTTACAATACTTGTTACCCATCAATTTTGGATTACGTACATATAACTCAAGTGAACAAAAAAAATGAAAAAAAAAAATATCGAAAATAGTTAGCGGATAGTTTTTTGTTTGATCCAGATGATTTTTGTCTTTTAATGGAGTTTCTTAGGGGCTTTCCTTTAGTTTTCTTTTACTTCTTCTTTCTGGTATCTTCTCTATCTTCATTCATTTATTTTCACCCTCCAATCTAGTCATTATACTTCGGTTTCGGATTCTACGACTTTTACAAAGTAAATAAAAGTGAACAAATAAACTTCATCTCTAATTTATGAAGTGTAATTTTTAAATACATGTTGCTGTGTAAATTCCACTAAAATTATTCACCGTTGAAAAAAGATTAAAAAAATTCGAAGTATATATTTCAAATTTTGCTGCCTTAATTTGTGAGTATGGCCTTAGGCAACTGCCTAGATGGCTTCAAATTGTAGCCAGCTGGAATAAGTTAAAAACAGAGGATAATTTGCAAATTCACCATTTTTTTTCCTTGATTCTTTGTGGTTTGTATAAATCGATTGTGCTACATGTATATCATAACTTACACATTGGTGTATATATACATGATATGGTAATATATGATTATGTCATATTTTTTTCACTTGAACCAAGTGAAAAAAATAATAATAAAATAAAATAAAATAAAAAATCTCCACTTTTTTCTTGACACATCATCCATCTGTAAAATTTTCTATAACTCCTTATGTACAAGTAACATTATTTTTGTACCAACAGCAAAAAAATAAAATAAAAATGTGAGTGTTGTAAAATCTAAGTAATTATTTTTCCTTCAATACTTTGCAAACCTAAGCCTTTGACTTGCAAATTTCTCTGTTGTTCTATATTTTTCTTTCATATAAATATTTATCTGAGCAAGAATCTGATGGATAAATCAAGGAATTAGTCTCAGTTTACTACCAATCGACCTATGTAGCTTTGGCCGTTTGGCCTAACACTCTCAATTTACTCAATTTTACACTTCTAAAATAAATGATAATTGACGTGAGAATTTTAGTAAAAAAATTTAAAAGTAATGAATCGACGAACTTTAAAGTTTTCATTTTCTCTCTCTTCTTCTCAACTTTTATTTATTTTATTCTAGAATCCACAAAATGCACGTAAGTAATCCTTTTGAGTTATAAATTGAACCTATTACAGATGAGACTCTGGACTTGAATGTTAATTCAATAGACGTCAATGTCATATAATCTTTTTAATTTAGTTATCACCAAAATGAAAATCCATAAAATGTATTAGAGATGCTTTAATATATATGCCATGTATCAAACCAAATGCTAACATGATCACCACAACTTTTCGCAACAATGTTAGTTCACAAATAAGTTTAAAAAAATCTAATTATGTTAAGGTTAGCCAAACTCAATTTTTATGAAATGGTTTCAATTTTGTATTCCTTTTTGGACCAAAACATACAATTGGTCAAGAATAGTGTGGTTTCTATTTCCTCTCACTCGACAACCATGATTAAAAGAAAAAGAAGAAGAAGAAGAAGACGACGCCAAGGCAAATGGCAACAAGAAAAAGGCTTTCTTGAATTTGACAGTTCGAGGCATTTAAGTATCAATTATTTTACTAGAAAATTAAAAAGGAAAAGGAAATCCTTTTTTCCAGTTTTAAAAATAATTTTTAGAGAATTTCATACGAAAGCGCCAACTTTCTAGAAGCTTTCGTCCGGACAAAATGTTATATCAATGTGTGCCAAACGTGTTTG